CCAACTTTTTTTCTTTATTACATTACTCTTGACATTAGGATATATAGACAAAAAGTCTTCTATATAGATTCTTACCAAGATTACAAACGAATACCTGTGTGTTTTTTATGGAGGAGAGAGAGAGAGAGAGAGAGAGAGAGAGAGAGAGAGAGAGAGAGAGAGAGAGAGAGAGAGAGAGAGAGAGAGAGAGATGGGGGGGAAACACTATCCTCACCATTGCGGTGAGTGAAAATTGCCACAGAAGTTAGCAATAAAAGGTCCCGCAATGATCTCTATCACTCAAGCATTCTTGTTAACAACTAGTCAAGCCAGTGTTAAATAATGGTGTACATGGTAGGCTGGCAGATAAAGAGGCTCAAGAACAAAATTTTATTGGAGAAAATGTGAATACACAAAGAGGCGCCATCTTTGCTAATGGCGCCTCGCCCACAACGCCAGGACCTTGAAAGCCTCAGACACCCGAAAGAGCCGCGGATCATTGCACTATTAAATGAGGGCCACTACAGCTCAGTTTGAATGTCTGCTTTTTGTTTATACAAGATAACGCGGCACTTCTGATACAGTCCACCTTCCTGACCCGTGTCAATATCGGAAAAGAACAGGTTTACGATGAAAGGTAGCTTTATTTTTTTTTTGTTAAGCTCGAGAAAAGGTACAGTTGGTGAAATTTAGGGGATATTCATGGGGAGAGAATTATTTTGATAGAAGATACATTTTAGAATCAAGAAACTGTGTTTGATTTAGTTATCACGTGTATTACTATCCCTTCTGTGCTTGCTTTGTTGAGTTGTCCCCGACTTCCAGGGAGCCGACTAGCTCTTCCTGCTGCACCTCGGAGCGTGCTCTCTCACCCCCACCTGCTCTCTCACTTTATAATTCTTCCCTTCCCTGCGCGTCTCAGTTTCCACATTGTAACCGTCAGTGACAGCCGAAAGGTCACTTTCCTTTATTATATATATATATGTCGTACCTAGTAGCCAGAACTCACTTTTCAGCCTACAATGCAAGGCCCGATTTGCCTAATAAGCTAAGTTTTCCTGAATAATAAATATTTTCTCTAATTTTTTTCTTATGAAATGATAAAGCTACCCATTTCATTATGTAACAGGTCAAATTTTTTTTATTGGAGTTAAAATTAACGTAGATATATGACTGAACCTAACCAACCCTACCTAACCTAACCTACCTACTATCTTTATAGTTAGGTTAGGTTAGGTAGCCGAAAAAGTTAGGTTAGGTTAGGTTAGGTAGGTTAGGTAGTCGAAAAGCAATTAATTCATGAAAACTTGGCTTATTAGGCAAATCGGGCCTTGCATAGTAGGCTCAGAAGTGAGTTCTGGCTACTAGGTACGACATATACATATATATATATATATATATAATATATATATGATATATATATATATATATATATATATATATATATATATATATATATATGTCGTACCTAGTAGCAGCAGAACGCACCTTTCAGCCTACTATGCAAGGCCCCGATTTGCCTAATAAGCCAAGTTTTCATGAATTACTTGTTTTTCGACTACCTAACCTACCTAACCTAACCTAACCTAACTTTTTCGGCTACCTAACCTAACCTACCCTATAGAGATAGGTTAGGTTAGGTTAGGTAGGGTTGGTTTGGTTCGGTCTATATATCTACGTTAATTTTAACTCCAATAAATAAAAATTGACCTCATACATAATGAAATGGGTAGCTTTATCATTTCGTAAAAAAAAATTTTGAGAAATATATTTAATTCATGAAAACTTGGCTTATTAGGCAAATCGGGCCTAGCATAGTAGGCTGAGAAGTGCGTTTCTGGCTACTAGGTACGACATATATAATATATATATATATTATAATATATATATATATATATATATATATTATATATATATATATATATATATATATATCATATATATATATATATATATATATATTCATATATATATATATATTATATATATATATATATATATATATATATATATATATATATATAATATATATATATATAGTGTGTGTGTGTGTGTGTATCTGTGTAATTTTTTTTGCTTTATTTTAAATTGAATTAATGTCTTATCATGAGTTTATTACCCTTGACTTTAACTCTGTATCTCCCGCTTTCTGTCCTACACTGCGGTTGAGCTTGAAGCTGTTGTCGCTTGTATGCATTAACTTGACCTTTTAAAGATCAAGATCAAGATAAAGCCTACTGGCCTTGATTAATATCTTCCAAACTGTTCAGTATTGTAAAGGTCTGTGTGAGATCAGCCCTGTCGTGTCTGGTTTCTCGTGTTGTTAGTCCTGATGCCCTCAACCTTTCCTCAGCTTAGTTCTGGGACGATTCTTGCAGCTCTGTGTTGCTTTCTCAAAAGCAGAAACTTTTATAGCTGAACAACTACTTTCTTTAACTTGAAGTCAAAAGGTTCTTTTGATTATTTATGAGGTTCGGTTGGCTCGTTCACCGCGGCTCCTAGTGACGTGGTCACGTGACCC